AAAAAAAAAAAAAGGAAAAAAGATGGCTTAATTATGAATAGCCATAATCTTCTGAATGAAGAAGATGGTGATGATAAAGAAAATCTTAATTTTGCTTGAGTTTTTTTGTTCCCATGATCACAAAAACAATGTACAAAATAATTAAGCCTAAACTCTGTTTCAAGAATGTTTTCTTCTACTCAAATTTGGTGAACAATGAAACACAGAAGCTGGTTTTATATATTAAAACTGGTTTTATATATTAAAATATGTAAAGTTTGACTTTGTGAGAAAAGATAAGAGATAATTACACAAACTATCCCTGAGGTTCACTTAATCTAGTGAGATTTGAGAACTCTAATCATAACATGTTTACCATAATCTCTTAGGGAACGGCTAAAGTTCCGTTGACAGAATGGTTCCGTCACGTAAATTATCCACACAAAATAACCTACTTTTCATATCCAATTGTCGTAACAAAACCTTAGCATTTTCCAATCTCTTAAACTTTTAGAATTATATTACAATTACTGTTGTGACAATATATTAACACATGATCACGTAATTATAATTTTGAGAAATGCTAAGGTCTCGTTGCGGAACCATTCTGTCGGGGTTTGTAACCGTTAGATCATCATATAATCGTCAGAAATAATTGATCTAACGGTTACAAATCCCGACGAAATAGTTCCGTAAATAGTAAATCCTATAATTTTACATTGTCTCTTGATTAGCATATTAGATAGAATCCGAAAAATAAAATCCGACAATGATGTGGTAGACCAATAGTTACAATATTTTTTTGTAAAATGATTTTATTTTTATTCGTTCTTGCCTTTCTCTTCGGAAAATCTGGTCCTATATATGACGACCTACCAATACCTCCTCTTTTAATTATTATTTTTTGGAAGACATTAATATGCTTATACAATTTCCTTTTTGTCAAAAGTATTATAGTTATCAAGTGGACATATTTTTCGCAAAAGAGAGGGGATACTAATTGAAAAAAAGTAGATTTTTGATATATTATTACTAGTTTGTTCCCGGCTGTGCACAGCACAGCCGGCCCAATTTTCGTTATAATTAAGTATACAATTAGTTTATAACTAAATCATGTGTTATGTTGCAAAAGTATGTTGTTGATTGAATATCGATTTTAGTATGTAGTTCTCTTATTACCATTTGTTCTTCGAATGTACAAAAAAATGACTTTTAACTTTCAATTATGGACTGAGACACTGAAGTAAAATGAAATTCAACTTAATGCCAAAATTTCATTGTACTTACAATGTTGACAGATAAAGCAGTACAATATTAAAATAAAAATATAACACAATTTAAAAACACTTGTTAGTTCTGACCACTCAATAGATTATGTTAAAGTTGCATTGTAATAAATATTAGAGTTTAACTCCGAATGTGATTCCGTCAATGGGTATGAGCTGAAAGTAGACCCTTCGACAATGGCATTGTTGGCCAGTAGCGCTCAGGCTGAGACTCGTCCCCTCCCGATCAGTCGCTTGTGCCGATCTCGATGCCATCCATATAGTCAACTGCAGACGACTCATACTCATGGGCCACCATGCTGAGTCTGTTGGTCCTGGCCTTGTCAGGAGATTTTTTCTGGCTAAGTCATCTTGCTGCAGCTCTTGTAATACCCTTTCTCATCGGGCCTGCTCTGCAGAGGGGCCAAAAAAACAGAAACACAAGAAAAAATAAGCTGCGCTATCAAAAAAAAATATTTGAAAGACATTTTTTCGTTTCTCTTTTAATAAAAGTTCTATGTACGAAAAGGATATTTTCTCTTTTTTTATGTATCTCTTCTATTGGAATTAATGCAAAATACTGGAAATAGGAAGAGCCCATTGACAAACATTTTTAGAAAGTAATATCCAGTAGATTTGTTCATATAGCAACACTGTCAAAGCAAACAAATGAATATTGTTAACCTCTACAAGGTGGTTAGGTTGTTAACCTCTAGAAGGTAAGTTTTTAAAACTGGCAACCATAACTTCGAAGCACTATAATTTTTAATGTACACTATATATCGCAAGAGCTCTCAGCAAGACCATTATTCAAACATTCCACCAAGGCTACAGTAGCATAGTTTAGGAAAACCTTACGAAAACCAAGCACGACACGACCATTGATGGCAGATTTTCTCTCCAAGGCTATTGGAATCATTTGTCCAAACACTCGTGACCACGACCATTGATGGTAGATTTTTTAACTGCACCTATAATCAAAACAAACAAACAAATCAAGTCCTAAATCCATCAATATGATTCTAAAAATGTCATGAAATTTGATAATATATTAGGGTAGCTAATCACTGCTCCAATGACGTATTTCAAACCACAGGCAGAAGTAAAGTTAATTTTACATATGCGATATGCAACACATCTAAGTTGTGTAACAATATCAGTAGTTTCTAAGAATAATGATTAACACAGAGCTGAGA